ACACACACTGTACCACAGTTTTCTGCATATGTGGCTGTGTAGCCGCAGACTTGTCAAAATGCCAATGATGACCCCAGTGCACCCCCAAAAGCACATTCAGTGGGGACGTGACTGCCAGAACTTGACCATGCAGCAATGAAAGAAGGTTGCCTTTTTGATGAATCACGATTTTATTTAGATCAGGTGGATGGCCGGGTGCGTGTGTACCGTTAAGCAGGGGAAGAGATGGCAACAGAATGCACTTTGGGAAGAAGGAAGTCTGGCGGAGGCAGTGTTATCCTCTGGGCAATGTTCTGCTGGGAAACCTTGGATCCTGGCCTCTTTCAGCAGAATAATACACTCTGCCACACTGCAAAAATTGTTCAGGAATGGTTTGAAGAACATGACAAAGAGTTCAATGTGTTCCCTTGGCCTACAAATTCCCCAGATCTTAATAGATAAATTTACAAAATACATATTGGGCAGTAATTTAAATGCAATAAACAATGTAGATGAGATTTATCAAAGTGTTTTGTGTATAGGCCTACACAACATATTTCATATTCTACACACACTTTGCACACCCATTGCATCCAACTATTGTCATGATCAGAAACATTCAGCTCGTTTCCATGGTGACAGTCCTATTTTTTTTTTTTTTATAAATTTTAACCACTTTTCAATCCACTTTTACAAATGCACCAATGTTATGCATTACATAAAGTAATGAAACAAACAAAACAAGCAACTAAAATAAGAAAAACTTTTTTTTATCACGTTATCACTTTTAGTTTAAAGGCATATTATAGGCACCAAAATAACATTAGCTTAATGAAGCCATTTTGGAAAATAGATCATGTCCCTAAAGTCTCACTGCTCAATTATCTGCCATTTAGGAGTTAAATCATTTTGTTTATGCATGTGACCTATACAGCCTTCCTGAAACGTCCTGTAAACAGATCTAAAGTTTAAACTTATTTTTTTAATTTATTTTTTTATTCTTTATTTTTGTGGTGCAATCATTGAATACATCCTCTTGTAATGCCACTATAGCAATAACAAGAAGAGTTAAGAAACATTGTTTAACAGGCTTATGGCATAGATAATTACTGCACACATTTTTTTAACGTTAAGTAGCAGAGTCACATGCTTATCCAACGTGTCTAAAATATATGTAGAGAGTTGTCAACGCTAGCTATCTAGACATATTGGTGATCTTGCACAATTAGGCTGAAGAACAGGCTTTTAAACCTGGGAAATGCTTATAAAACTGAGAGAGTGTAACATGTACAGTGTCTATTAGACTAGACAGCAGGTCCTAGTTTAAGCAGACTAAGTGCGCTGTGACTGAGCAGGTCATTATGCATTTATATAAACAAGACTGATACTCATGAGTGATAAGGGTTGTGTAGAACTGGAGTCCTGAATGAGTGTGAAACCACAGCATCGTTGGTCAGGATCAGCTACATGCCAGGTGGCTCCTGTCAGCAAGGGCAGAGGGCAGGGGCGGGCTGGGCCAGGGGGCAGGGAGGCAATTGCCCCCCAGGCCGCCCTAAATTCCTGTAAGGCCGGCCGCGACGGGCCGGCCCTTTAAATACTGCAGCCGCCCGAGCGCTCTGTTAAGAGCCTCAGGCGGCTGCAGCTTCTCCCCTGTAGCGTGGCCGAGCTGCACTCCGGTCCGCGGTGGCCGGCCGGAGTGATAGGCAGGTGCACACTGAGTGTGCACCTTCCTATCACTCCGGCCGGCCGGCCACCGCGGACCGGAGTGCAGCTCGGCCACGCTACAGGGGAGGGGGTAAGAAGAGGGGAGGGGAATAGAGGGGAGGGGGGGAATAAAAAGAAGGGAGGGGGGATAAGAAGAGGGGAATAAGAAGAGGGGAGGGGGGATAAGAAGAGAGGGAGGAGGGGGAGAGAATAGAGGGGAGGGGGGAATAAA